AGTACAGCGTCCAAACTTGGGTGATCATGAAATACACAGTGCATGTAGCATAGAACATCTTCTCCTTGCGTTAAAGACGGAAACGTTTCACTGTCACCTTGTCCAGAGGCTTCAAAAGTTTTGCTGGCCACACTGTACGCAGAACGCAGTTTTGTCCGCTTCTGTTTCAATGTCTGACCATTGCTGACATTTCACCGGATGGAAGGATCTATTCCAAAAAGCACGTCTAAAGTTGCACCGTCATGTGGTTCCGGTGGCTCTGGGATGAAGTCCGCGTCGTTAAACAACAATCTGAATTCATTGGCAAATGGATCATGGCTCTGCCGGTCTAACTCTGCCCTGGTCGAGATTTGCCGGTACATTTGTGCAACCAGAGTTGTGTTCCGCGAATCTGCAATTGCATGACGAAGGCGCACACTTTCCTCTTTCGTCCAGTTTGCAGCACGACTTCTCCAATTTCCTTCTAAAACATCAGTACCGAGCTCCTCAAACAGCTGCTTCAGCTCAACAATTTTTCCGAATGAAGTAACCCTCTTCTTTGACAATCTAGAAATCGAAGTACTCTTAGCCCCATGAACCCGACATTCCTAGACGTCTACAGGCAGCTGAAAGAGTCACCTGGGAGCGCGATGTCGGCGGTGGCTCCTGTCGCGATGAAAAATGACCTCTCGTGTCGTTATGCAGGGTTGAGGGTATTGCGGTTTCGTCATTTCTCACGGATTGTCTTTGTCCGAGTGACAGGAGCTCATCCACTATCGCGCTCGTCAAAGGCTCAAAAGGAGTGTCTGGGTTGGCTGAAAGGGTTTCAGAAAGGTCGTGCGTGGATGGTATTTCCGCTCCATATCCATACGTAACTGGAGGAAGACTTTGGGGGATTTTAGTGGGGGTTGTGCTCTTTGTCGTCCATCTGACGAAGAACTGCGCTTGAGTGAGGAGTATGGTGTCCTGACATCTTCACGATAGCACGGGGATGATGTGTGGTCTTTCAGTATGGGAAATGAGGGAAAAGCGCAAGTTGCTGTCGAGAAGGAATGGCGGATGTAGTTGGGGTCTGGGGGGTGCTGCGGTGGTACAGATTGCGGAAGGTACGCAGGTATGCAAATGGCATCTGAAACTTCTCCCTGTTTCGCGCCAAAGAGTGAAAACGTCTCGTTCGGGACTTGCAGAGAACGGACCCCCAAGTACCTTCTGGAGAAGCAACGTGCTGCAAGATGTGGCCAATCACATCTTGGAACGGCTCATATTTTGTATGCCATATTTTCCCATTTCTTGTTTGGAACGACCCTAAGTCCATTTGGACTATTACTGTTGTGGCAAGGGAGTACGTCTACATGCTATAATGCAATCACTTTTTTTCCCCCGACCTTCCGTATGCAAAACGTATGCTCGGTACACCGATCAACTGAAAAGTAGGGATGTGAGGCAAAATTGCCGGTCGTCTTATACGACATAGCCTCGCCCTAAAACGTTGCGAATATGAATCCATTGCACAAAGTAGTGGAATCTGGCGTCGAGGACTGCATCCGACACTCCCTGGGAATAGGACCATAGACAACACAAACGCACAGCCTAACGCCTGTCAAACAAGGCTAGTATATCTACTGTATGGTGCAGCATATGAAAGCGAGATGATAAACACACGCGGCGAGTATGAGAAAACCCCAGTGATATCTCGTCCTGTCTACCAAATTTTAACGTAATGTATACTGCGATTCTCGCGTGTGCTCACCAAAAGACAAGCCACGGCATTTTCTAACGCTTAGTACCGATATGCGCAATCACTTCATGAATGGGTTCAAACACCAAGTGGTTCTCATTCTTTCACTGCAGCATTAGCCACGTGACGAAGTTGGAATGTTTGACAGCTCTCACTGCATTTTCGTTATGGCGAACGTCATTCGAGGGTACCTTTATGTCAGTTGCTGTCTTTTGCTTTCGACTACGCGGCCCGGAAATCCACACACACACAACTGCAGTGAAGGTTGACTTTCAGTTAGTTCATTCCAATGAAAAGTCCATTTGTGGCGGTTGTCGTTTTCGTTGCCTGTTCATTCCAACTAATATAACTACATATACACCTTTCATACCACATCAATGCCCCCTCATGAAGAGGTGTCTATCCGTTAGGTAAGCATTGGTAGCATAAGGTACACCGCAAAGAAGCTGAGGACGCTGTATATATGGAGGGAGCTCAACAAAAGGTACGGCAATTGCTGGCATTGAGGAGTCTAATGTCATTTGCCGGTGACGCATTGGGAATTTGTCGGGATCCCTTTCAAGAAGATTCTTTGAAAACTCATGCCTTTAGCAATAATGAACAGAATAGTAGACGAGTCGGCAGTATGGAGAGACTTTCTGTTCAAAGGGGAAATGTCCCTCAGACTCAAGCCTTTCAAAGGGGTTATTAAGGCACCTTCTGATGCATTGTCATCTCGAATGAAGAACTAACGCCTGACTAAATCAACGCAGTTTGATACCTGTCCACAGCTCAACACGAAGCTCGAAGTTGTTGTTGGCGACACTCGACCTTCACATATTAACAGCCGCTCCTTAAACCGCCTGTAAGGAGAAGGCAATGGGAACCTGGACTTTCAAGTGAGGCATCGTCCCACGTGCCTCCTCTTTGCACCGGTTCTACTACAACTAAAATGCATTCAGAATATGCTCTGCACTGGTCGACTCTTCAAATTAGTGTTTTACAAGAAAAGATCCTAGAGCATTCCTGACTTCATATGAAGGACTATTCTCGGGGGGGGGGGGGGGGGGGGATCAGAATGCCTACTTAAGGGTTAGTCACAGGAGAGAGGCACTACCCCTCTCCACTCATAATTTAATATGAGTATCTTACCAATGATATTGAGGTACAGACGGGGATCGCTGGGCAGAGATTGAGTCAGGGAGTGGTATTTTAAACAATATTCGTATGATGTGATGCCATGTACAAGTACTACATAGATCAATACAGATACTGATGATGTGTAGGCAGGCTCCTTAGTGAATGATAGTTTTCAACCATATAGAGGAACACATCATCGCAGAAAAGTTGAAAGGCTGAGACAGCCCCTTCCCAGCAGATTTATCTCTTACTATGGTAAGGATGCTTGACTGGAACTCTGTAATGAATCCTCACACCAACTTGAAATAGACTTCGACGTTTGTGTGCAATCAGTTATATCTCCATATATCTTCATACTTCTACATCCCAGCAATATGACCCACTTGTTCTCTTAGACGATGCGAGTTTACACCTGCGGAGAGGAACAGAATCTATTGACGCCATGATCTGGTCTTTTACCAACTGGTCCCTGAAGACCTTATCTCCAAACGAGTCAGCAAAGAAGAGCTTCTTCCGCATAAGTATTGACGTGAGCGTTAAGCGAACCATAACGGTGCATGACTTGAGATCTCCAATAACATATTCAGGTTGAGGTGTCCGCAAACCGCCTCTATTTTAAAGCCATACAAGCTGAAGCGTATGAATCATTTGTTCGTGCGACAGACTAGTCCCAGTCATGACAAATATGAATTTTGGGACAACGATTATCGCTTCGAACTGTACACTCAAAGTCGCGAGGCTGCTTTTTCGGTTGTCTGGTCCACCCGGGGTAATCAATCGCATAAGAGGTCTGCTTTACTCCCGACCAGACATCCGTAAGGTACAGTTTGTTCCTTTCTGGTTCGTGCAACGTTGCTGGGAATTTAACAAGAGGACTGGAAGAGGATGTACACATGCACAAGGGAGCAGTTCCCAGAAGAATGGTACAGTAGTGAAGAAGTTCGTGGACTGAAGAATTGCTTTCAAGGATGCCGTTGTTCTGGACAAAATAATTTCCGTATGGACAGTTAGTTGACAGCGCCATGAGTGCCACAACGGCCGGCGATTTATTCTGATTTTTCCAGATATCAGGTATAATGTCATCTGAGGGTGCTGGAAAGCGCTAGAGGTGAGTACTTCTAAACTATTTCAAGTTGGCAAATGGCCACTCCCATTTGCCCACTGCAACCCAAAACAGTTTTGCCAAACCTCGTCCATAATTCGTTTCATCTGCTAAAAACCTTCTTCTTGTGCAATCGTAATCTTCATGTTCTAATATGAGAGCGGGACAACATTAAAGAGAGCTGCTTGAAGGCAACTTCACAGATCTTCATGATGTTCTTCCGATCCCAGTACTGTACAGGACATGCTTTTAGGTGAGACTTCGAAAGCATGTCATGTGGATCTACACAGGAACCTTGGTATGTCGTTTCTTATCGAGGGTGGTCCTCTTATACACTGGTTTGAACGACGATTGCTCTGTGTGAATTGATCCGTAGAAATTTGCCTAGAGAACGTCGTATTCGTAGGGCTTCAGCATTCATTCGTTTTAAAATTTTGCTGCGGCATGGACTTCTCATACTGAGAGCTGCATGTGAGGAGGGAAATGAGGCATATGCAGCGCTCTCGCCCTCACGAGTACCGTTCACTGCAAGATCAAGTCGTAGAATTTGAATGGTTCTTACGTGCGAGAGGGAGTCATTGACCCATTACAACTGACAAGTGCATTGTGAGGCTAAGATGTTCAAGTGAAGAAATCCATGAAACCTGCACAGCCTCTCTGGTGTGAGGAACGATACTGATGTACATATCAAAAGGCAATGCGAACGAAAACTGATGCTCTTGTGGATGACGGATGACTGAATTCTCTTACCAAGAGACGAACTATGAGTCATCAGGCATCAAAATCACATGCCAAGACATCTTAAGGAAGAACTCTTCATGAATATTCTGTATGATATTCAAATAGAAAGTGTCTTTCACGAAAACGTTACAAACCAAAATGGAAGAGCATCGGTTTTTGGTTTCAACGTGAAGAGGAGTACAGAACTTCCACAGAACTTTCAAGGTATGACTTGTTGCGTGCCGATTTTCAGAAACAGCTTATGTCGTGAATATCAAAAACACTTTTTGGCAAAACCCTCATCACCTTCGACGCGAAGGCGTTGCTACCAGTGTTTTTGTGATGGAAATACGTTCACTGCACCGATGGTCAGCAAAGTGTGAAAGCGTTCTATCGAGCTATGGGTTTACAATTCTCTTCCTCGTTTCATATATTAACGCGCTTTTGCTGATGTTCTTCTGGGGAGCACACGAAGAATACGTTCATACGAAAACACCTATCCTGAGGTGGTACATCTCAATCGCACGCGGTTTTGGTTATACTTTAAATCTGAACTGCGGGTTACTCATATTTCTGGCTTCCCGGCTGGTATTTACTCTCGTTCGCGAGACTCCATTGAATCTGGTTGTCCCTTTTGATAAGAGCTTCCCAGCTTTTCATGTTATTGTCGCCTACATAACGTTTGCATCTGCTGTTTCGCATGCCCTGTTTCATTTGATATGGATCATTGAATGGGGTCAGTGGGGAGACGGGCTGTGGGGAATCAGCATGTGCGTTAGTTCGGGCATAATCTTACTTGTGGTCTCGACTCTCATTGTGATATCATCTCTGCCATCGATACGTCGCACGAAGTTTCAAATATTTTATAGCCTTCATAACTTGTTTGCAGTGTTGTTCTTTACTCTTTTGCTTTTGCACGGAGTGTATCGTGGAAAGCCATACACTTACAAATGGATAGTACCACCGCTGATAATCTACACAATGGATAGAATTGTCAGGCGCGTGAAGACCGGAAATAGCAGCATCTGGCTGTATAGCGAAAATTCATACCTTTGTGGTACCAACATTTTAAAGTTGCAACTTCCCAAGCAGTTCAAGTACCGTGCTGGACAATATGCAGGTAAGTTATTGCATGAGGTTCCAACATGAGATTCGGGCTTCCGACGCGGCTGATATCACACACTCACTTCATGCTGGAAAGTGCTCTTCGCAGAGGTGAAAGTCAATTCTATTCATAACTACGAATGGCATCGTACGTCTTCCGCGTTTATTGGCTCTTCCAGTTGCGGATGCTTGAAGAGTTTGTACACTAATCTGTCCTTTTATTTTTTTTCTTTTTGAAAACGCTGTTGGTTTATTCGTGCATTTCAGCGTTCACAATCGCATCTGCCCCGTTTGAAAAGACTATGTGTTTTTACATAAAAGCCGTAGGAGACTGGACAAGAGCCTTGCGACAAACGTTCGAAACGCGGATACAGGATGGTTCCGAATCGTCCTTGCGGGTCCAGATCAGGGGCCCGTACGGGGCTCCCGCTCAGCATGTTGGGGGCTATCAACGGGTAGTGCTCATTGCTGGGGGGGTTGGTTCCACACCTTTTTGTTCTGTATGCAAAGATATATTTCACAAAATGGACCACGAAATAGAGCAAGAAGTTACGTCTGACGAAGAAATTCGAGCGTCTAAGAAATTTCGGAAGGTCGAAAGAGAGCTGATGAGCTGTATAGCGGAGCTTTATAATGAGGCCATGGAAGATATCGAAGAGGAGAATGTAGAAAGCGACAGAGAGTCGAAGCCATATTCTCTTGGTGCTCTCTTCGCCATTACGAACGAGTTTGGGGACGGTGGTAGTGTTGCCGAACCGTCGATGCGAAAGATTGTGGGCCGTATCAACGACTTGAAAAACCTTCAATGCAGAAACCCGGATTCTCCTTCGACAGGAGCGAAGTTACCACTTTCTTATCCATGTAATCATTTCGAGTCGAGAGAAATTATGGCATCAAGAAGTGTATTTTGCATGAATGATACCGAGTGCAACACTATTGTCGGAAGTAAGCTTCAGTTGAATCGTTGGGAGAAATGGCTCTCCTCTTTGCACACGATCAGTGTAAACATGTCATTGTACATGATCATGCTCCTCCGAGTGGTAGTGCTTGCTTACGCATCCATATTCGATTCCATGCCGACAATGTCTTCAAGCTCTCAGACAAGTGTTCTCTATGACAACATGTGGATTACATGGTGCGATTCACTGCTTGGCCTTCTAATTCTCTTGGTGACTTCGGCTACCTTGTGCATCGAGCTTCTCGTCTACCGTAAATCGTTCTTCAAGTCGAAAGGCTCGCTAACAGACGCACTACTTCTAATCCCAGTCTCCGCCCTATCCGTTTGCTTAGGCATCAGTGCGATCATTGGCAGAAGCAATGGCTTCTTCCTTCCCACCTATATCCATTTTGGTGTCATCTTACCGTTGTTAATGGTTCTCCTGCTGGTGAGATTGCACCGTGTGATCGGATCACGTGTGCTTCTGGCGGACTCGTACTCGCATTCAGATTACAAGATCATTCGGGCAATCGACTTCATCTGGACGACACCGTATGACGACGACGATGACTGGCTTCGGGAAGAGCTGGCGCCTCTGGCAGATGGCGCTAGTTTGAGTCTGCATCGATATGTAACTCGCGAGAAACAAGATGTAGAGCGGGGTACGGGCGCTGGAAAGGACAGGGGAATGGCAGGAGTGTCGACAAACTTTGGGTATGTACAGCACTACTGTCAGTGAACATCGTACTTCACGCGGTGTGATTTTGCGAACCGTTTTTACATAAAAGGCGCGACTGGGCGTGGAATGGTGTTGGAAATTGCCAACGCATGGGAAGGACTCGTTACTAACCAAAATCGATCAAACCAATACTGACGTCCCACATGACCTGTTATGTCTTCCACCGCACGTGCACGCATCAGACGACCGGAATGGGAGGGCGTGCTGAAGCAGATTGCAGAGGGCACGCCGACGAACGGCAAGGTTGGAGTTTTCTTCTGCGGGCCGAAGGGCATGTCTAAGGCGATTCGTAAGGCGATCATGAAAGTGCAGGTGCTGACAAATCTCCGCGGGACGTACCTGGGAACTATCCAAAGGACGTCGGTAAGCAGTAGCGGAATGAACGCCATGGATTATGGAGACCTTGAGCGACTGAAGGCTCGTGGGAGTAATATACGGTTCGTGTTCCGGGAGGAGAACTTTGGTTGACAGGGCTACAATAGAAAGGGGCTATGTTGTAGCTCGTAGCGAGAATAGCAAATGAGGATGACGCCCTTCTTCAAGTCGGCGATGCGATCGATCTATGGACTAAAATGGGCATTCCAAATGACCGAGGCTATGCCCCCTGTGTCGTTCTTGTGAAGCAGGGCGCCAGTTTGTGGATATCTATCTATCTTTGGAACTGATTCTTTTCTTAACTCCTGATCGGCCCCTGAACCTCTTCCAGGCGCGTGCGAGCAAAAACGTGATCCTTGAAAGGAGTGGCTGAGTATTCTCGGACACAGGGCATCAATGTGCATGACACGTTGGCAAGCAAGGCAGTGTAGAATCGTTGTTCCCAGAGTTAGTTATGTGTCCCTGGCTGCCGGCGGTGCCAGATAAAATACTCCTTGGGGCTCTATTTGCTAAACTCGTGTTTGTTGCAGTGCTACATGTGAAAGTTTCTATCATAATGTCTCTCATATGGCGATATACCTCACCACGCGAATGGGTCACGCGGTGAGGAAAGAACTTGCCTTGTTTAGGGTTACAGTAAATTAGTATACAGTACAAGTGGGCTCCGTGCGCGCTTCGCGCGCCGAGCCGAGGCGTGGAGGAACACTATTTGGGAAGGGTGGCAATGAAAATATGTAAAGACAATGGCGTTTACTTTTTTTGGTAACTACTGAAGGACCTCGGGGTACACTACGTTTCGCGTGGTTTCATTGGACTCTCGAGTGAGGACAGTGACGTTGCCTGGGTGAGTAGTCCTTGATAGTGCGACATAGAGTTGACCGTGCGAGAAGCAGTGATCTCGTAAGTCGAGACCAATGCGGCCACCGAAGGATTGGCCTTGCGCTTTGTTCGTTGTAAGGGCGAAGCACGTGCGAATGGGGAACTGCGTTCGGGTGAAGCCAGGGATGGGAAAGTTGTCGTCTCCTGGTCCGCAGGGCATTCGAGGAAGACACAATCTGTTGCCTTGGTGTGACCCGGTGGTAACGTGTAGAAAGAGCAGGTTGTTGGTCATGTTCTCGATGACATATCGCGCGCCGTTGACGTGACCGGTAGCGGGATCGAGATTGCGCAGAAGCATGACGATGAAGCCTTTCTTGAGCTTGAGCTTGTGGTCTGGTAGAGCAGATCCGGCGGTCAAGGTGTTGAGCATTTCTGTGGGATAGATCGGCGCGTTGGTGTCTTCGTTCTCGACCTTGTCTGCGCTCAAATACGTTCGATACGATCCCGGAATCATGTTGCCGATGACTTCGTTGACTTCCTCGAGCGGCCTGTTCTTTGGGGTGAGTATAACGCGCTTGGTGAGCCAGGCAGGGTCGGCGTGATTGTCTCGAATGCCTTGGAAGACCTTGAGGCATAAATTGCGGATGGTGTGCTCGAACGCAACGGACTGTGGTAGTGAGATCCATTCCGGGCGCTGTTCGCCTTGAAGTCTGCCTTCCCCGACGCTGAGGAGGAATTCTGGAAAGTTGAGAGCCTCCACATCTGCTGCACGGTCCGCTCGGAGAGCAGCAAGGCGCATGTTCTCGGTAAGGCGCAGGAATCGGCACTCTCGATACAGCGGGGAAGCCTTGACGCACGCACTCACGATTTGACCTCTGGACCCGCCCGGAACGACGGGAAGGATTTGTCTAAAGTCTCCAGCGAGCACGAGGAACTTTCCTCCGAAGGGCCGGTCGGTTTGCATCAAGTCTCGAAGGGAGCGATCGACAGTCTCAATGCAATGTCGATGGCACATGACGATCTCGTCCCATATGATGAGATCGACTTGTTGCAGTGTACGGCCTGTGTCGGAGTTTGCGGAGAAGCTGCACGTGCTTTCGGCAGATACAGGAATGGGAATCTTGAACACGGAATGAGCGGTGCGTCCACCGTCGAGCAGCACAGCAGCAACAGCAGACGTAGCGACAGCGATGACCTGCTTACGGCGCGTACGAAGGAAGTCTTGAATGGCGCTGAGCACGAATGTTTTGCCTGTTCCGCCAGGAGCATCGAGGAAGAAGAGACGACCACTTCGTGTCGGCATAGAAGGTCCCGCAACGGCGCTTAAGGATCCTTGAAGCAATGCAGAGACGGATACGCCTGGAAGCAAGGAGCCCACTATTTCGTCAAAGGCATGACGTTGATTTGTGTTCAACAGCGGCAACGACGTCTGTAGTCGCCCTTCCCACTGCTGCGCTCGTGCTTCGTGGGTCTTGATCTCGTTTTGCTGTTCCAAAGCGGGCAGGCTGTCATCGGGCAGTGGGAGTCCGAAGTTTGCTAGCGTCCAGTCGGATCGCACGGTCTGCAGAGCCTCCTGTACCTCTCGAAGTACGTAAGATGTGGCGTGGTGATCATCGCGAAGCTGCTGTCTTCGAATGGGTTGTCTGCGTGCACGATTGCGAATATCGGTGAGAAACATGTCCAGGTGGTCGTTCCACAGCGAGAGAGGGTCCGAAGGCTGGCAGTGTGCCAGAATCGTAGCAAACAGATGAGAAAGAGGAACGAAGCTTGACCGGAATGAATCTCGGATTGCGTGCTTCCACTCGGCATCGTCGGCCAGCAAACCGAGTCGTAAGCAAGCTTGTCGGAAGCTGGTACACTGCTCGCCGTCGATATTTCGCAAGTTCTCGAAGGATGTTGCCCCTGGCACTTGTGTGAGGAGGAGGCGAAGAAAGTAGCGCTCACCCTCCCTCGGACTGACAGTGTAGATTCGACCGACTACGTTGGCACCTGTACCACTGAAATCGTAGGCTTCCTCTTCGCTGGTGGCGTTCCGTCTTCGCAGGGTTGCTCTTGGACTCCATGACTTGGTGCGTGTCTTCCACGTAAAGTACCTTGGAAACTTGTGGTACCGAATATGCCGCGCGCTTGGGTACTTCTCGTTGGCTTTAAACCACTCGGTCAGCTTCGTGCCTGTTGCTGGTCGAAGCGCCGCCTCCTGCTCTCGCCCTTCCTCAAAGTAAACCGTGTGGTGGTTGGGCAGATGCACTGCAAGCCTGACTACTGGAGGATTGCGGTCTACAATGTCAAAGGAGAATAACCTCCATGCGGCCTCCGATGCCGAAACGTATCTGGCATCTTGGAAGTTGGAGATCTCGTCGTAGCGCTCGTTCTCGGCAGTGATTTCCATGGTCACTCGGTCTTGTCCCTTGCACACATACTTGAAGAGGTACTTGATTCCGCCAACGCGTGACACGCAGAGTTCAACATTCAAATGGCAAGCGAATGAACGTAGAAGCACAGGACTGTGAGGAACGACCCAGGAGTTGTCTACCACGACGGGTTGCTGTCGTCGGCCAATACGGGAGGGTCGCTCGATGGAGACGCCACCTGCAGAGGGTGCCCTTCTTCGGTACGTGATGTAGTACTCACTGTCGGACTGGCTGGTTTCGTGTTTGAACGATTTTGGAAACCCTTTCCTGCAGTACCGCTCGCCCATGCACACGGCTGTTGGATTGTGTTCTCCACATGGATTGTGAATCATATGCTTGAGCACGACCTCTTGGAGTTCTGGATCTTGGGCAGACGGGATCTCGGCAGAGATAATGCGTTCGACGTTTTCGGGAGTACGCAGATCATTCTTGGAGACTTCATCTAGGAAAAATACAACGTGAGCGTGGGGAAGACCGCGTTTCTGAAACTCGATGACTCGTACATGGGCAACAACGGTTCCGAATACTTCTTCGTTGATGACCAAGGACATGAGATCTTTCATTTTGAGACGAAACACACGTGCGCACAGATCCGGTCTGTCCTGAGGCGTTTGGTTCGGCAGTAGGGCTCTTGTGATCTCCGGCCAGCTTGGATTGCATGTCATGGTGAGGAAGATGTCCGGGTGGCCAATTTGGTTCGATATAGCAATGATGTCGTGCATCTGCTGCCTCATATAGCGGTCACCTCCAATGTACGTGGAAGGGAGAATGAACAGTCGTCCCGCACGCACGGCATCGGCTTCATCTTCAGCACGACGGGAGTCTCCTAGGCTGTCGCGCAGTGAGGTGTAGTCGGCGGCTCGAAGTTGTGTCTGGTTGTGGCGGAGATAAGAAAGCCTTTCTGCCTCCACTTTGCAGAACTGGTCAACCAAGTATTGCTGAAAGAGTCGTGCTGCGTGCAAGATTGTGCTGAACTCGCCTGATCTTTCGAACAAATGCCATCCGTAGTACATCATCGGAGTAATCTTGGTACGTCTGCCGTCTTGAACACTGGAGAATCGAAGCTCTGGATACCATCCATCTCTACCGTTCTGGAACAAAAGCACGTAACTCAATGGATCGTATGCGCGATGACTGACTGAAATCGGATCCAGCACTTCGTTCCCGTTACTGTTCAGAGTCACTCTCCTGCGCACGACGATATCTCTTCGCCCAATCTCTCCGTCTTCATTTCCAGGGATCAATGCGGCGACTTCAGAAGCTTCGGGACCATTGTACCGGCGCACGTGCTCATGACTTGGCCTGCGGTCGGCATGGATGACCATCTGGTACGTGGCAGGACAGTTGTTTTGAGGAGATTGAGCCCATTCTCGCATACACAGAAACGTCTGCACGTAGGGGTTGCATTCGTGCAGCATGTGTGTCAGTTGCGTCATCAGTGCCTCTTCCAGTTGTCTAGAGGTTCCAAGCCTTGTGCGCGTCTGGGTGGCGTAGTCAGTGTCATGAATGTAAACGGAAGCATAGGAAGGCGCCCGCCCTTCGGATGGCATCATGGGACCCATGTAATGGTACATCCCGCCCTGCATCGTCATTGTGGGGTTAAAATTAGAAGGACCGGGACCTCTGTTCACCCATTTGGCGACCACGGATGCCATCGATAGCGCTACATTTTATGCTCGAATGTTCTTACGGAAGCTGCAGGCCCTTGGAGTATCATCGATGAGAAGAGAGCGCAGAAGAGCTGGCGGGTCGGGGAGAAGCGGCAATGACAGCTTCCCCTTCCCACAGCATGTGGAAAAAATGGGCCTTGCGGCAGAGCTGCCCCCGATGCGTTCTTGGACGAAATGCAGAGCTTTGCAGTGTGAACACTCAACACGGATCATGCCGAGATCGCGGTACGAAGGAGAGGACTCCGGTAGTGGAGGGAAGAGCTGTCGAGAGGCACTTCGAGCCTGGCGGTCGGATCTTTGCCGCGCAGCTATGACAGGGGATATATCCACAGCTCTCGCTTGTCGCATTGCCAAGCGATTCGACTCCTGTCTCGAAGATCTCAGTGGAGTATTTTCCTCGGCTCGGCCTCTTTGGGTTGCAATAAGATTCGATTCTCGCCGCCCCTCACGAATAGGAGTACATTCCTCCGCTCTAGTGCCTCCTGTCGCAATGCGATCCGCTTCGCGCCGCGCATTTCGGAGGGGGGTGGTTTCTCCCGCTCTGCGGGCCCTGGCTCTCTCCCTCAGTCGACGGAGACGCTCCTCGCGCTGCTCAGACGTCTCTGCTGCTCTTCGTGCTGCAGCACGTTCACGGTCGGCTTGACGACGCGCTTCCCTCTGAGATTCGGTTTGTTGCCCCGTCCGGATTCTCGCACGGGCTCGACGTGCTTCACGACGTGCTTGAGCGTCAGATGCAGACTCTTGCGCTCTTCTTTCCCTTGCACGCGCGTTTCTTTGCTGCCGTCTTGCTTCGCCACGTCTTCGCCCGCTGTTCCCGCCATTTATGTTCTGCTTGGCGCGCTAGTGTTATCCCTGCAAGTGCAGCTAGGGTTGACGCAAGTGCGAGGGGTCCGTTGTAGATCGCTATGAGTCGTAGCAAGCAGTCCTCAAAGGTCTAAACGCAACGTCAGCCAGCTAGGTCGTCCGCAAGAGCACTTAGCAAAAGAGTAACAATATAGGGCCTTTATTGTCTTGTACTATCCCGTGATTCAAAAGAACCAAAAACGAAATAGAAATAGACTAATGGTCCTACTATACACAGGGTACAGTATTAATACTCAGAGTACGACCACCTTGTCTATTTCTACTCCCAGGGAGCCCGGTATTAGAAAGAACCTCTTGCAAGGCTCTTCCCGCCGGGGTCGCTAAGTACGCGCGCTCCCTTTTCCCTCAGTGCGGTGGTTAGGTTTCCCAAGCCCTAACGGCACCTACACTGGGTCTTCTTGCAGCCTCTGTAGTTTGACGGAGGCTGCGTTTGATCTTCGTTGTCGACGTTGAAAACAACGTCAGTCCGACGTCCGCAGATTGCTCTGCGGAGGCCGTTGTTCCGAGCCCGATACTACAACACCAATAAATGGTGCGCTATCGGATTAGGCTTCCTGCACAGCGGCAGACTACCACTCTTTACTAAAAGCAAAGCGCAATAGCACCTAGGGACTATCCGGATGCCGTCAAGCAATCCGGTAAACTTTTCGCGGGGAATGCCGTATTCAGCCCACTACTAAGCCGGCATAGAATCACGATCTCTGCCTTGCCCAGACTCTGGTCACCACGCTACCAGGGAGCCGTCACGTGGTGAAAATTTGCTGAAGGTTGTTGAACTCGAAAGCAGGTACTGTGCTGCCGACGTGCGGCTATGTAAAAAACGTTTCTATTCGTGCGCGCTTTCGCCTCACCGCCACTTGTCACCAGGGGCGGCGCCACGTGTCGCCACTTGTCACCGGCACGCTACTGTAGTGCCGCATTGGTGTAACAGTTCGAAATTCAAAATAAAATTAATTTTACCGCCACGTGTCGCCACTTGCAACACGGGGCGTGGCCGCCGCCACTTGTCACGCCACGTGTCCCCGTGGCGGCCTGGCCTGCGAAAAAACCGCCACGTGTCGCCACTTGTCACTCGGGGCCGCCGCCACTTGTCACGCCACGTGTCCCCGTGGCCGCCACTTGTCACCGCGGCGCCGCCCCCGTGCGCCAATGGCAACGCGGGAGCGCAAGGACATACAGACACACACACAGACAACGATTTTAGTAGTTGTAGACAAGTGGGCTCCGTGCGCGCTTCGCGCGCCAGGCCAAGTCCCTTCCTCCTCCGCTCCTCGTTCTGCACACGCTGTCGTTCCCCGCCCCGCTGCTCCCCCTCCCTCTGCGCTAACTCTCCCGTCTTCTCTCCGGTCTTTGTCGCCCCTTGCCCCCTCGTCCTACCACACGTTACTCGCCCCTGCGCGTCGCGCCCGGTCCGCGCCGCCGCCCTCTGCGGCACCGCCCGCCTGTGTCGCCTTCCCCCCCGGACGCGGTTCGGTCCCTGCAGCCCGCAAACATGGTCAGCACCGCTGCCCTTCACGCCGCCGCTCGCTTCCGCCTAACACTGCTACCTGGAGGCGGCTCCCGGCACCCACCCGCCTGCGCGCCCCCTCCTGCACCGCCGGCTGCGACACCTGCCCGGCTCGCAGCGACCACTTTCCCCGTTCTTCGCACCTCCGTGATGCGTGCGGCCCGCGCCGCCGCCCTCCGCGCCACCGCTCCCACCACTACCTCGACCGCCCCTTCCCAAGCGCACCCGTCCACCACGTCCCCGCGCCGCAGGCACACCCCGCCCACCAGCCCGCAGAACGTCTCTGCCACGCCCACGTCCGTCCGCCCCGCCACTGCCACCCACCACGCACGTCGCCCGCCACATCTCGCCGCACACAGCGCTCTTCGCCGCGTGCTGCCCGCTCATGTTGCGCAGAAGCTCCACGCAGCTCGCCACCACGCGCACTTCGCCCGCCCGCCGGTCCAGCAGAGTCCCCGCCGCCGCTTGGAACCGCTTTGCGTGGAGCTGCATGCACACCGCGTCCGCGATCTCGCGCGCACGCCCGTCCCACCCGCCGCACTCGCCCACCACGGCGTCAACGCCTGCCTCCGCTGCTACCAGGCACACCACGTCCGTCACCGTCTCTGAGCAACCCAGTTAGCGCCCGCTCGCCGTCGCGCCTCCCCCGCCCCCCAACACGCGCGCCCGGTTGAAGCCCGCTCGCCGTCCCGCCTCCCCCGCCCCCCGGCACGCGCGCCCGGTTGAAGACCCTTGTAGTACTCCACGCCATCCAGCTCTGGCCCGGTCCGCTCCCGCGCCCTCCGCTTCCCCACGCGCACGCGCGAGTGTGGTGATCCATGCCGCCCCGCCTCGGCGCCCCCCACCTACCCTCCCCCACCGTCCCCATCGCTGCCCCAGCCCACATCTCCTCCACGTCATCGCCGCACACCCAAAACCGCCCTCCGCCCACCATCATCTTGCAGCCCACCGTCCCTATCGCCGCCCGTCGCCGCCCCGGCCCGCACTTCCTCGTCGCCGCGCATCCACATCCACCCCCCAAAGTCGGAGCACCACGCGCTGCGCAACTCCGCCTTGAAGAATTCCGGCCCCCCCACGCACAGCTCCCCGCGCACCACCGCCCCGCTCACGTCGCCACGAGCCTCCGGTATTTCGGGCAGCCCCGTGTCTCACGCGTCTGCCCCCCTGTCGTACGCGTCCATCTACCACACCGCCGTCACGTGCTCGCAGTGCCCGCCCCAGTTCCGCCCACAATGAAGATCCGCGTGGCGCGGTTTAAACGGATCCGGGCTAAAATTTGTAGTGTACTGTAGCGCGGCCGCGCTCGGCAGTCTGCACAGTTATTTTAATTTTAAAATTTAACTTGTCGCCACTTGTCAGCCTGTACTGTAGTGGGGCCCCGCCCCGCAGTCCGCACAGTAATTTTAATTTAAAATGTTACACTTGTCGCCACTTGTCACCGCCACGTGTCCCCGTGGCGGCCTGGCCTGCGGCCAGGCCCCGCCCGTGGCCGCCACTTGTCACGGTAGCGCCAATGGCAACGCGGGAGCGCAAGGACATACAGACACACACACAGACACGGATTTTAGTAGTTGTAGATAACCCCTCTATATGAATCTCCTCAAAAGGAATAACCCCTGTAAACGAATACATCCATGCTCCACCGATGCTGGTTCCGTGTTTTTGGCCTGTTCAGGGGGGTGCTGGTAATACGAATTCAAGAATACACTTCTTGGATAGGGCCCTAATTTTCACTTATAATTTCAGGTTCTGGCAACCTCCGTATAATAATAGTTTAATCTCCAAATGATCATTCAACCGGATCAGATAGATCCAAAAAAGATCCATTCTAGGCCGCGCATTTCGTAACGACATTTTATTGAATGCTCTTGGTGTTATTCTGCTTGATACAGTGCAATACAGCTCTGTACTGCATTGCATCTAGTCTAGGCGGACGCTTTTTTGAGCTGTGGCGCATCGTGAAGTCGCAATTCTTGAACAACACCGATTTGACCGACAGCATCATGGCCAGAGTTCGTCTCACAATTTCCCAAAAGAAAAAGATACTTCACGAGATCGACAAAAGAAAAGCAGACGGCAGAAACGTGGATCAGACAGCCATTGGACAGTGGGCATCACACACTTTCAATCTTTCCCATCCTTTGCCGCAGCCGACCATTTCCAAAATAATTGCCAAGAGAGCAGCTGTCTCAACCTCTGCAACTCCGAATCAAAAGCGGCGCGGGGCACTCTTCAATGATCGCCTAGACGAAGGGCTTGCTTTGTGGGTATCTGATTGTGCAAGCAAAAGTGTTGCTCTTTCAGATCTTGCTATCAAGGAAAAAGCAAATCGGATATTAGGCGAGGTTAACAACGAGCTCGAAGACACTGAAAAGATTGATATGAAGTTCAGCAACGGCTGGTTGTACAAATTCAAACAAAGACACGGACTTTGACGCATTAAAATGCATGGCGAAAGTGCCTCTGCCGAAACTGTTGTGGCGACGGAAGTACTGCCAGCTCTCAGGGAAAAAATCCGCACATATGCGCATGAAGATATATACAACGCTGACGAGTTCCGACTTCAGTACTGTCTTGCGCCTGATAGCACAATTGCCGCACAGCAGGTAAGCGG